CATCCAACCATCCATTCTTCCACCAACCACCCACCTGCATATCCATCCACCCTTACCCATCCATTAGTTTATCCACATCTATCTATCTACCCACCTCGCCACCCACATCCATTCAGCCATCTATGCACTTAGAATGACCCATATCTACTCATCCACCCACCCTTCTATCCGCATACATATACCCCTCTATCCAACAGTCCATCCATCCACTCACCAGCATTCATCCATTCATCCCCCACTCATGTTCATCAGCCCACCCGCATCCAGCAAAATTCACCCATCCCTTCTCTTTCCATTCACAGCTTCCATCCATCCACTTACCTACAGCATCACTCCCTCTTACTCTTCCCTCTCCTCTACCCCACTGATAATACACTTATTTACATATAAAGTCACTTATTCCACCTCCATCTAGTATTTCTCAGGAGTCTATTCAACTGGAGCAGATACGACTCAATTGCTGCTCACTGTCAAAACACATACAGCTTTCAGGAGACACCAAGAACACAGAAAAACAGCTTTTCATATCGTGGGTTAAACAGCCTATAGGAGTTATACCCTGGCCAGAGCCCTGAGTCCTTGGCCAAGCTTTTGTCCCCGCCCCAGCGGAAAGATACTGTATCTTTCCTACCATCTACTCTTGCCTGTTTCAGTCTTTCCTTCAGTTTGGAGCTCCAACACTTAGCTTGTAGGATAGATGGATGTGCTGGCTAGTTTTACCTTGACAGGCACAGGTATCATATGGGAAGAGAAACTTTTCTTGTCTTTATTTTTAAATTTATTTTTATCTTTTCTGAGATACAGTTTCTTTGTGTAATAGAGCCCTGGCTGTCCTGGAACTCACTCTGTAGATCAGGCTGGCTTTGAACTCAGAGATCCGTCTGCCTCTGCCTCCTGAAGGCAAGCTTTAGAGGTATGTGTCACCACACTGGCTTAGGAAGAGATACTTGCAATTGGGAAAAAAATGCCTTTGTAAGGTTTCCCTATAGGCATGTATGTAGTGCATTTCCTTAAGGATTGCTGTGGGAAGGCCCAGAACATGGCAGGTGATGCCACCCGTGGGATGGTGGTCCTGGGTTCTATAATTAAGCAAGATGAGCAATCCGTGAGTGAGCAAGCCAGTAAGCAGCACCCCTCCATGGCCTCTGCATCAGCTCCTGCCTCCAGGTTCCTGCCCTGACTTCCCTAAGTGGTGGACTGTTACCTGGAAGTGTAAGCTGAATAAATCCTCTTCTTCCCAAGTTGCTTCTGGTCATAGCATTTTATCACAGCAATAGAAACCAAGGAAGACAGTGGACTTCTATCTCTTCTCAGGGTTCATCTGGACTAGGAAAGGAACCCTCAAGATACCCTTAGCCTTATACTGATGGAAGGGCCTGTGTGTGAAGCTGACCCTCTGGATTCAAGGCCTTTTCCAGCACAGGGGATGTGTTGATTGGTTCTGAAAGCCTGAGTCCGATTTGGGCTTTCTGTTGGAGCAGGTATCTTTAGGGGTCTGGCTTTGCCTCCAGCTGCCTGTCAGGCTCTGGGAAAGAACCCTTTCCTTCCCAGAGGAATGCCCCATTGTCTGACTGTTTCCTAGCCTCTGCCTCATTACCAATGGAGTCTCTTAGCAGGGTAACTCACTGATGAGTCAAGACAGCAGTTCTACCACATGGCAAACAAATACCAGGCCTTGAGCAGATACTTGTCACTTAGAAACTCACTGCGTCCTCACCACAATCAACAATAGTTTCTCCTGAGAAACTGAGGAAAAGAGAAGTTGAGTAATCTTTATCATCACACAGTTAGGGAGGGGTTTGAAACCAGGCCTGAGTAGGCATTTTAATCACTACTTGCTTATGCCACTAGCTCCTATGCCAATGGATGTTAGTCTACAGCAAAGAGAACTATATTGGCAGAGGATTTTTGGAAAGACCCAGAAAGACAGGCACAGGGGTTTTAGGGTGCCAAGATTTGCAACACAGCAAGGGAACCTGTTGCCTGGGAGGTAAGTAGCCTCCTGACTTGTGTTATAAATCTAGTGTACCCCAGGTCCTGGGTCTTGGCAAGAATGAAGATATTCTAAAGCAGTGGTTCTCAGCCTTGCTAATGCTGCGACTCTTTAATACAGCTCCTCATATTATAATGACCCCCAACAATAGAGTTATTTTCATTGCTACTTCATAACTGGAATTTGGCTACTGTTAGGAATCGTAATATAAATATCTGATGTGCAGGATATCTGATATCCGACCCTTGTAAAAAAGCCCTTCAGTTCCCAAAGGGGACAAGACCGAAAGGTTGAGAACCATGGTTCTGAAGTCCCTCCCTTTGGACTATCAGACTGCTGAAACAACAGATGCCAAGAAACTAGAAATTTCCCTAGCAGTCTTAGACAGTGAGAAGGAAAGAGGCCGGAGTCTAGTGCTAGCCAGAGGCGGGGCTAGCCTCCTGAAAGAGATCTCACACAGTTCTGACTCTGCCAGACTATTTTGTAGGAGAGGCTGGAGCCCAGACATTGATGGGTCAGTGATGGGTGGTATTGACACCCTGACCAAAGCGGTTTACCTATGTATACCCCTTGTCTTTTATTTAAATAAACTTCACTTCAGGATTTGGGGTAGGAGTGGGTCTCAAGAACCCTCTGTTCCTCTTCCCAAGGTGGGCATATTGAAAAAAACCTTCCATTTCCTGCTTTCTACTATTAATTTTGTTTTCAATTGGACTATTGAGGATGAATGGCTAAACCTGGCTTGTAAGGAGGCTGGGCTGTCAGTGCAAAGGCTCTGACCCTAACTCTAGTTAACATGATACCGCCCCTGCCTCAGCAGCTGCACTTTCACCCTGGGCAGACTGTTGACCTCTGACCTTGATGTCACCTAGACACAGTGTGAAGACACCACCAGAGTTTCCTACCAGCCCCCGAATCAATACTCCATGGAGACTCGCCACTGGGCAGCCAGAAGTGTCCCTGCAGCCCTCTAGACAAATTCCAAGAACTCCCTCTGACTTTAACTGACTCATAGGCGTCTCATTCCAAGCCCACCCCGTGTGGCTGTGCCCATGTGGTCACCCTCACCACCCCGCTCCGGGAACTGCCTACTTCTCTCTGCCAAATGTGCAGGACAAAACCATTAACAGTGTATCGGTTATTTTTGGAAAGCTCAGGGAAGGGAATAAAGCCTCATTGATCTCTCTTGCTTCCGAATTGGGGAGGGGGAAGAAGATGAGAATGTTGTCATTTCTGGCGTAACCCCTCCCCCTCCCAACCCGGTGCTCCATCATACATGTTCTCCAACCTACTTTCCCCCTGTGCCACTTTGCTTCCCTGAGCCTGCAGCCCCAGGGTGGCAGGTATGGTTGCTCAGAGGGAGGAGGACGCAGGAGTTGCCTCCTCCTTCCCTCACCAGCCCTGGACCACTGCTGCTGACTCAGAGGCTCTTCAACAACACAGCACTTCTGGTGGCTCCTATAGATGGGTGTGGACAGATTCGGAGGTTATGGCAGGCTCAGGGACAGGAGGGGAGGTCAGGGTTCCAGCACACTTGAAAGGTGGTTCAGCTGCCCAGGATGGAGAAACATCCTACAACTGGGCAACAGGGAACATCTGGATGGAGAGGTGGGTGCCCAGTGTCCACCCACCAGGTACTGGTTACTGTCTTCCACTGGAGTTCACAGATGCGCAAGCCCCTCTGATAAAATGGCGCAGCAGAACCCCACGCATAACCTCCTGCAGCTCATCTCTTGATAACTTAGACCCAGCGCAGTGTAAATGCCAAGAAACCGCTGTTTCTCTGTGTTGTTAGGGTGGAAGGACAAGAAAGAAAGCCTGTGGATCTTCAGTGCTCATGCAACTCAGCTCGGGGCTGTTTGGTTATGCGTGCCCTCTGCCTTCTAAACATAAACCTCATGTCGGGACCCTGAAGGTAAGCTTGAGGTGAAGTTTCTAGACCTCTTTGTTCTTCCTCACGAGGCCACACTGAATAAGCTTCCCCTCCCTCCTTTCTGCTTTTCTCTATTTGTCTTCAGCTGAACTACTGAGGAGCTAAACTTGGCTTGTAGGGAGGGTGTCGGGGCCCAGGCGATGATACATGTATTTATGTGTTTATGTGCTGGCTGTTGTGTGTGTGGGGTGAGTGCACGTGGGCAGACAGATGTGCAGATATGCACACATCTGGTGGCAGCCAGAGGATGTCAGGTGTGGGATCCCCCTATCTCCACCTCTCCAGTGCTGGGATTGTAATTGTGCTCGCCCACACTGAGCCCGTGTATGCCATGTAGAGGTCAGAGGGTAACTTGGGGAGTTGGTTCTCTCCTTTTATTGTAAGGGTACTGGAGAGTGAGCACGCTGGTTGGGCTCGGCAGCAAGCTGCTTGAACCCAGTGAGCCACCTCGCTGGCCTATGTATCTGGCTTTTTAAAGGTGCATCCAAGTATCGAACTCAGGTCCTCGTGTTTGTGAGGCGTTTGCTCCGCCTGTGACATCTCCCCAGTCCTTTCCTGCACATTTCTGAGCCAGTGTTAACTGACTCAGAGAGGGTGGGGTGGTTCGGAGTCCGTTCACACAGAATGCTCACGGAATACGACTCTGAGCTCTGACCTGGAGTGGTTTGATATATGGCAAAAGCTAACCAAATGTGGCTAGATGTGGTGGCGCACACCTTTGATCCTAAGCGCTCCCAAGGCAGAGGCAGGCTGACCTCTGAGTCCCAGGCCAGGACTACATAGTTAAATCCTTTCTCAAAAAAAAAAGTGTTTATTTTGTAAAGTGTGTGTGTGTGTGTGTGTGTGTGTGTGTGTGTGTGTGTGTGTGTGATGGGGGCAGTCAGCGGCAGGATTTAAAAATAAACATCTAGATCACAGCAATCACCGATAATAACTAACAATGACAGTTTCCTTTGGTTTCACAGACCCTGTAGCCATGTCGGTAGAAGGTTGAGCTGCCTATTTAGCAAGCCTCTCAGAGTCAGCAGCGGGATCAGGCGCTCCACTATGGACGATGCTCCCACGCTCGCTTACCAGGATCTTGGTGGTGTAGGCGCTGTTGATGGCAATGGCGTTGACCAGCAGCTCCATGGTCTTGGCATTGATGGAGCTGGGATCCGGGATTTCCTTATAGTGGACATCGCCGACATAGGCCTGGACCACGGTCATGCGGTTGGTGGTGAGCGTGCCTGTCTTGTCCGAGCAGATGGCTGTGGCATTGCCCATGGTCTCACAGGCATCCAGGTGGCGTACCAGGTTGTTGTCTTTCATCATTTTCTAGAGAATGGGTGAGAGGGGAACCGTGAGGAAGAGAGAGAGTGGGGAGAGGGGGCTTCCTGTGCCTCAGCCTTCCCTTGACCTGCATGTGCAAACCACTTCTGGGCTTCTTTAGCTCTGCAAAAGAAAGTCCCCCCCCTTTTTATCAATCATTTGGACCATTTAAGTTTTGGTAACTGAACTTACTAATTTTCACCACAGAGTCCCTCACTTCCTGTTTTGGGAGCAAGGTCTCATGTACCACAGGCTGGCCCCAAACTAGCAATCTATCCAAGAATGACCTTGAATTCATGATCCTCTCGTCTCCACCTCCCAAGTGCTGGGGTTACAGGTGTGCTCAACCACACCTGGCTTCATCTACATTCTTTTTTAAAAAAATAAATAAATATGAATATGTATTTACATATTTACATGTATCTCTCTCTCTCTCTCTCTATCTATATAGATAGATAGAGAGAGAGAGAGAGAGAGAGAGATCAGAACCTCTGGGACTGGAGATATGGATATTTGTAAACCACCATGTAGGTGCTGAAATTGAACCCAGGTCCTCTGGAAGAGCAACAAGTGCTCTTAACCTCTGAGCCATCTCTCCAGCCTCTTCATCTACATTCTTCATAGAAAAAAAAAAACACAGTAGAAAAGATTTAAAAAAAAAATTAAGGCTGGATTGCTCCTAATTACTCCTAGCTTAATGTAAGTAGCTGCTCCTCGTTTGGTTCTGATTTTTTCAAATGCTTTCCTGGTGCTTGGTGAGAGACCCATCAATTTCACTCTAAGTAGACACATTTAGGATGCGTATGTGCTTACAGATGCAGGAAAATATCTGTAGAAATACAAAAACAATAACGTCGTTATCACTATGTGATAGAACTGAGAATCTTATTGACTTCTTCAGGTATATAAATCACCTTTTCTATAATGAACATATAGCACGCATAATAAGTACTGTTTGTGTATGTGTGCATATGCATGTGTGTTTGTGTGTGTGTGCGTACATGTTTATGTGTGAGACAGTCACAGGAACATGTTTAGTGTCCTTCTCTCCGGCTCTCTGCTTTATCCACTTGAGACAGAGGCTCTCTCTGGACCTGGAGCTCCCTGCTCTCGGCCTAGACTGACCAGCCAGTGAGCCCCACTCCTTTTCCTGCCTCTGCCTACTGAAGGCGCTGGAGGGTACAGGCACACACAGCCACACACAGCCACACACAGCTTTTTACATGAGAGCCTGAACCCAGGTCCTCTGGCTCACACAGCAAACACTCTTACCCACTGAGCCACCTCCTCAGCCCCACCCCCAAAACTAACCAACCAACCAACCAACCAACCAACCAACCAACCAACCAACCAACCAACCAACCAACCAACCCCAACCAACCAAAACCAAAACCAAAAATCACAGAAAAAGGAAAATAAAGGCTAGTGAGTCACTTGGTAGGACCCAGATGGGAGGAGATAACTGACTCTCCATGCTAAAACACACACACACACACACACACACACACACACACACACACACACACACTGTAATACAAAAGAAATTACACACTTGTCTCATTTAGCAACATCTTTCCTCTTTACATTTATAGTACAAGCCTACTGGATCTATTTGTGTTTATTTCCCTCTGCGTACTTTTTTTTTCTGACCCACTTCTTTACTCCTAACTTCTCCTAGATTCTCCTGCAAGTAATAAACATGATGTAGTTCTCAGGCAGGCCCTGCTGACATGCTGGCCCCACGTGGCAAGGAGAGTTTGTGAAAAGTCCCTAGAGGCAAAATCTAATGGAGTTTGTGCCTAGGGATTTGATTTCCTTCATTCTTGCTCCCCACAGTAATTCTTTATTACAAGGTTAAAAAGAGTACAAATGGACTATTTAAATAGATATCTATGCTACTAAAAATGAATATTGGTAGGGTAAAAAGCTGATGTGTCTCCTTTCTTATAACTCCAGTAAGTGTACAGTGAGTGTCTGATTAATGGCGATTTGAGTTTGTGACATGCTTTACAGTGTATTTTCTGGTGTTGTTCTGTAAGGATCCCGTGAGACCTGGGAGGAGCCTGGAAATCCACTTTGCAACTGACAAATTCCAGACAGAGTGAGCTGAGCCAAATGATGTGTGGTGAGCATGAAGCCCGGAGTTTGAGGCCAGCTCTGCCTAACTTCTCAGCTCTAACTAACCTACCCGCTCTGCCTAGCCTAACACAGCTCTGCCTAACCTGGCAGTCTGGCTCATTCCATTGCATACCAGTTCACCTGCTCTCACTGAAGGAGCCTTGGCTCTTTTCTTCAAGAATCTCTCTTTGGAAGCCAGATTTAGTGGCACATTCCAGCACTTGGGAGATACAGGCAAGAGGACAGCTGTAAGTTCAAGGCCAGCCTGGCCTGCACAGCGAACCTCTATGACAAACAAAACAAAATCTGAAACAAAAATGTATAAAAATCTCTCATCAGGACTATCCAGCATGGTAACTGCTCGGGAATGACGGACACTTGAAATGTGTAAAAGATGATGGATTTTAAAGACATTATGAAAACAGATACCTTCAATGAAATATCTCTTTTGGGTTGTTGATAATCTGGACATAACTTTGAGTGAATTTGCATTATTAAGGTTAAGGCTACCTTGTTTTTTTTTTTTTTTTTTGTTGTTGTTTGTTTGATACAAGGTTCCATGTATTTTAGGCTAACCTTGAACTTGCTATGTAGAAGAAGATGACTTTGAACTTCTAATCTTCCTGTCCCATTTCACACATCTTGGGAACACAGCTGTGCCTTTCCCTGCCTGGTTTATGTGGTGCTGGGGATCAAACCCAGAGCCTCCTGCATGCCAGGCGAGTGCTCTACCGTTGAGCTATACTTCAGGTCACATTTTGCACCCCTCCCCCCATAGGCATGGGAACACTTGCCCATTCAGAGGCATGTGGAGGCTAGAGATTGACATTTGGGTGTCTTTTCTCCCTTGTTCTTTTGAGATAGGGTCCCTCTTTGAACCTGGAGCTTGTCACGTCAGCTAGACTGGTTGGCCAGCATGTCCCCTTCAGGATCTGCCTGTGTGGGTCCCTCCAGCTGGGGTCACAGGTTCATGCTGCCAGGCCTGACCTTTCTGTGGGTGCTGGGACCTGACCTCCAGTTTCCACACTTGCACAGCAAGCACTTTACACTTTACACGTGGAGACAGCTGCCCAGCCCTGTTTTCAAAAAGGCAATTACTGGGATGTTGAAAGCGACAACAAGCCTAACCCTGGATTGCATGATATTTCTGTTGCGAAGAACCCATGTACCTAAGTGCTCACTGCTGCGTTCCTGGTGGCAGCCCTCAGGGCAAGCTCAAAGAGGATGTGTCAGCTTCACTGTTGATCACGTGCTTTTGCCAGGCACATGACTCGGGATGACCAAAGGTGCCAGAGATCAGAACTGCAGAAGACGCTCAGGCCGAAAGCTGTCTGCTCATAATGTCCCCAAACCAGCTTTGCCAAACTTCACAGGAACTCTGAGCTCAGTGGTGTGGCCATGGGGACCTGCGCATTGCCAGGCTCTGAGGCCTTGAGGAGCTCATGTGGAAACGCGGGGAAAGGGCCTAGCATTGTGCTTGTTTTGACCCATCTGGGCTTCGGTTTGTGGGGGAGGGTTTCTCTGAGAACCGTAGGAGAGGGAGCTGATAAGGGCTGTGTCCTTTACACAGAACTGCCACTCGCTGGCACTTGCAGGGAGATCGCTCTCGAGGTGAAATTACATCTCAGAGCTCCGTCCAAATTCTGGCTTGGAAACTGACGCACGCTTCACCCCTCTGGCTGAGCTGCCAATGTCTCAGAGTGAAAGCCTTCTCGGCGACATCTTGTTGTCACCACCATGGGAAACACGTGTCCATGTCCTTGCCCCAAAAGATGGGCAATCCAAGGGAAAAGGACGAACATGAGAACATGAGCAGGCAGGACAGTGTGGCAGTGGTACTGTGGGCCAGACGTGGGGCGTGTGGGCTCTCTGATGGCCACTGCTTCAGCGGCTATGTGGGTGCTTAGGGAAGGCCCCAGATCCCCACTTGGCCAGCAAACATCCAGGTGGTACATCATTTAACCGTTTGCCAACCTTCCTGTGTTTGCAGTAATCCCTACCTGAGGGGTAAGGGCTTCCTGTGTGGTTTTGCTCATCTCTTCCACACCTTAGGGCAGGACCTGTGGGTTTGGTGGGATGGGGTATGTGCTTGCACGGTGATGTCTGCGTTTGACAGTTTGCAGTGCCACGGCCTTGGGTTTGCCAATTAAGCAATCTATCACTGAGCCATCTATTACCCAGCCCCATTTTATTGGGTAAGTCCGAGTCAATTGCCAATACGGATCTGGACAGTTTATATTAAGTATAGTTTTTTTTTTTTTTTGGCTTCTTCTTGAGAAAAATTCTGAAGGTCTGGAAAGCCCAGGTTGCACCCCCATAAAACCATGCTTGGCTGGGCTGAATAATGGGGGCCTCTGTGGCCAGGGCCTAGCTCTTGGTTTGCTTCTGAAACTGTCTGAGTTTGGAGGACTTTCCCCCACTCCCTCCAAGTCCTTGCTGCAGGCACACTATTCTTATGCCAGTTTCAAGTTCTAGCACTGCATCTGCCCTGGTTCCCTGAGAGAACTCCAGCTGGGACTGCCTCAGCCACCCAACACTGCCCTTCTCCCCTCTTACCTTCACAGAATAGGCCAGTGAGATGGTGACAGCCAGAGGGAGGCCCTCAGGCACGGCGACCACCAGCACCGTCACACCAATGATGAAGAACTTGACAAAGTATTGGACGTAGACGGGCGTGCACTCCGTCAGCCACGGCTTCTTGTTGACCACAAAGGTGTCCACGGTGAAGTAGAGCACCAGGATGATGACCGTGATGGCTGACATCACCAGGCCTGCGACATGGGGACACCTGTTCAGAGGGCTCCGGGGGAGGGGGGTGAGATGTTCACTAAACCCCTTCTGGGGGCCTGTCGGGAAGACCTCAGCTCATCTCCCAGCTGTACTTCCTCACTTTGTGGCCGGGAGCCTTGCTTTGATCCTAAGGGAACCTCAGTTGCCAGTTTTGTATAGTGAGGCACAGGGGGCATGGTTCCTTCCTGGGGCTTTGGAACGCTCCTGTGGAAGTGCAGGTAAAGCGCCTAGGCTGGTGCCTGCCTACACAACACCCAGCCACACTTAAGACATGTGGCTAGGGGACATGTAGACACAAGAGCCACCAGTCACGCAGTAAAGAGGCAAGGTTGGGGTGTTTTGCTCATTCACCCAACAAACACTTTTGAGCACCTGCAACACGGCGGTGTACGGTACTTCCCCATCTTGGACACAGGGATCTGGATGTAACAAAGACAGACACCCTGCTCAAGCAAAGGTAGGTAAGAAACCAGTATATAAATAAATACATAGCAAGAGTGTTGTGTGTGTGTGTGTTTGTGTGTGTGTGTGTGTGTGCGTGCGCGTGCATGCGCGCCCGAGTGTGCCACCAGGCAGGGCTTTAGTAAGTTCATTATAGTCATGGACTGCTGCCGTGAGGAAAAATGCCACGAAGATGTGGCTGAAGATGTGGGCGCTACGAAGTGGCTGCTGCAGTGATGACCAGGGACGGGGTCTTGGAGGAGGTGGCTTTCGAAGAGACATCAGGGATATGTGTTGTTCTCGGGGAGAATGCCCCAGGTGGAGGGAACAGATTGTTTGGACAAGGGAACAGAGGCTCAAATAGGGGAAATGATCAGCAGATGGATGCAGGCTAAGGTAACACTGCCAGATCAGTGTGCCTATCCCTGACCTGCCTCAGGTCCCCACCTAGGTGCTGTGAGGACTGTGCCTACGTGCTTTCTCTGAGGGGGGAGGGGTGATGGGCCTGTGGGCACAGCCACCCCACAAGATGTCCACGATCCCCTGGCAACTGTGCGTGGTGGGTGTGCCCTGACATGTGGCTTGTGGTCTAGGGAGTTCCATGAGATGGAGCAAAGACTAGGAATTCTCTACAAATCTCAAAACGATGGCTCTGATATGCTTTTCTTGCTTAGCAGACTCAGCTTGGAGTGCCCATTCCTGAATTCAGTTACCATCGGTTCAGCCCCAGAGGGAGGGGTTGGGGGACTGGGAGCCCAGAAAACTTGACCAGGAACTTGGCAGGGTGGAGTGGGAGCCAGGACTGAGGTCTTCGGAGGCCAAGAGGTTGTCATCACTTAGTTTCTTGGTCTCTTAGTGCCACATGTTACACTGTGGAGTCACCTGCCTGTGACAGCCATGGCAGCGAAGGAGGAAATCCCTGAGCCCGTATCTCCCGACTCTAGCTCCAGCTGCAGGGCATCAGAGCCTGGCTCTACCCCTGCCTGACAGCCGCAGGGGCGGGAAGCCAAGCTCCCGGCTGCGGCTGCCGGCTGCCGAGAGAGCTGTCACCAGGTTTAAATATAGACTACTGAGCCTATAATTTGCAGCTGTCCCCTGCTGCGCCGTCTATAATTAGAAATGGAGGCAGCCACAGAGGCCTCCGTAGCCAGGTGGGAGGTCTTGCCTTTCAGACACCCTCAGTGCAAGGGGAGGTCAAGGCTGGGCTGGAGGGCTGGGGCTCACCTTACAGCTGGGGTTGGCTTCCCTCGGCTATCACCTGCAGCTGTCATCTCAGTGAAGGAGCCCTGGATTGCTCGCTGGGGATCAGACAATCCTTCTACACCACAGCTAGGTGGTCTTAGTCCAAATCCATTCTGGCTCTCTCTTGCTGTTAACCTCTTACATTTTCCACTGTCCTCAGGCTAAAAGTCTTTGTTGTTTGAAACTCTAAGCCCTACAAAGTCTGTCCACCATAGGCTAAGTCCTCTGTCTACCATAGGTTAAGTCCCCTGTCACCTTTAATCCCCAAAGCAATCTGCCACACAGTGACAAGAATTATCACCAATTACAGAGGAGTAGGCAGGAACTCAGAGCTGGGGGAAGCTGCCAGCCCAAATCCCCAGAGCTGTGGCTGTGGTGGTCTGTCGGCAGAACTAGCTTCATTTATCTGGAGCAGGGAAGGCCCTGAGGACCAATGGAATCAATGTTCTTCTTTTACAGGTGAGGAGATAGAGGGCAGAGCAGGGCAGGGCTCTGCAGGGAGGTCCCTGCTGTGAACTCACCCGCCTTGCCAATCTGCACAGCCAGCTTGGTGAGTTTGCCCTGAAGCACCGACTTCTCTTTCTTGTGCATGTTGGCTTTCTTCTTGTCATCTGCATCACCGCCCTCGGCACTCTTCAGGGGTTGCATCTCCATAGCAGCTGCCCCATCCTGCTGCTTGGCTGTAGGGGCAGAGCATGCATGTGCACACAGACACACACATGCAGGTCAGCCTACAGGCTGGGAGGCTTTTAGCACCCACCCTGCCTGCCCAGTAGAAATTGCCCCATCTGGGCCCTGCATGGCTGGCAAAGAAGCCTCGATGGTACCTGCCCCTTCCAGCTGCAGTCTCTGGGCCCAGAAGTACCTGGGTCCTGGGATCAGAGACGCATGTGGGATTTTACAGGACAGGGCTCTACCCTGGATTCCCGGCAGGGCAGGGCTAAACCAAAATCCCACCCTTGGCCCTCTCACAATCAGATAGAAAGAGAAGGGCTCTCCTAGGTGTTGAAGCCAAGTAGTTGGGTTGCTAGGCAGCTAGCATTAGGGAGGACACAGCTTAAAAAGAAAGTAAGGTGTCCCAGGCACAAGTTTCAAGCCCCCATCTCCAGTCAAGGGATCCTCGTCAGTGTGGGATGGACAGAAGGACCTGCAGCTCTTGAGAGCAGAGGCCAGCCAACCCTCAACTTGTAATGGTCTCTAAGAGCCCACTTCCAGACCCCAGCTGATGGGTGGGCTTGGGGGATCCTGGCCCTGGTGTATCCCCTCATCTCACTACGACACCTCTTTGTCTTACCCACTATTATGAGACTCATGACTGTACCCCCAAAGGTGCCAGAGCTCCCCAAAGGTGTGGGTGTGTCTGCCTCTGGCTCCAGTGAGTCCCTATCTCTGTATGACACGAGCCCCATGGCTGCAGTTACCTTTGCTCTGGCTGCTGTCGGCACTGCCATCCTGCATTTTACCTACACAACAGAGAATTTCAACAAACAACAGGCAGCACAGGTCATCACGAGGACGCAACAGGCCACAGACACTCATGTCACAGACAGGAAAGCCTAAGCTGTCAGGGGATATCGAGATCTGGAATCAAGGCCAGCCCGGCAGTCACCTTAGCCACAGGGGCTGTGGGGCCGGAAGGCTCTGGATTCTCTTTGGGGCTGGATGGGGGCAGTGTTTCTGTTGGAATAGCGTTGGCCTTGAGTTTTTAACAGACGAAAAGAACGAATTGGAAAGTGAAAGGGGCCAGAATCTGCACAGGAAGCAGAGGGAAGCTCCCAGATCCCAGAACTGAGCCTCACACACAAGGCTTATGGCTGAAAGGAGGAAAAGAGAAACTTTCACATCTTTCCTTCCTCCCTCTCTCCATCCCTTCTTTTCTCTCTCCCTTCCCTTTGTAGTAATGAGGATTTGAACCTAAGGCTTTGTGCGTACTATGCAGGTACACTGCCACTGTGCCACATCCCCAGCCCTCCCAGTTTACCCTTTAGCTACATAATTTTTATTTTCCATATATATATATATATATATATATATATATAATAATCAACGATCAGTCTTCTAGAATGGAGAGAATTGGAGGTCAACATGTCCCTTCGTCCCTTGTTTTGGGCTTTCTCCTTATCTCTTTGAAGGATGTGATGCTAAAATACCAAGGACACCCCTGTCTAAAGTCTGTAGACTGTACAGGGCAGAAGATGAGCAAGGGGCCACTGAAGGTCTGAGAGAATGTCCTGGCCCTGAAAGGAAGTCACTGGTCCCTGAACAAGAGGTCTTAAGCAGTAGCTCCAGATTCACAGAGAATCTAAGAGTCAGTGGCTACACTGGGTGCTACCAACCATGCCAGGGCCTGACGCTGCCAGGTGTCGGGGAAAGGCTGGGTGTGAGGCTTTCTACTGGCCATCAGTGCTGCCTGGGAACCTCTATCCCAGCCTGGGCCACTGTGGGCAGATGTGGAGATTGCTGCTTCTTGCCTGAGACACCTGCTTTTAGCTGTGCCTTCCTGTCCACTAGGCCTGTGCCATTCATTCAACTGTTCCTATAGCTTTGGTCCCTCAGGAGGGGTGAGGGAAAGATGTCTATCCATGGTATCTACTGCCAATGCCACCAGCTCTGGGCTCACATGGTCTCTATGCTTTTCATCTAGTGCAGTGGTTCTCAACCTTTCTAATGCTGCAGCCTTTTCTTTTGTTGCTACCTATAACTGCAATTTTGCTACTATTATGAGCTGTGATGTAAATATCTAATATGCAGGATATCTGATATGGGATCAACCTGTGACCCACTGGTTGAGAACCATTGCTCTAGTGCCTGTCACTATCACTTCTGAGAAGGATGCTTGTGTTGGACTCCTACCTATAGTGAAGAAACTGAGAGGGAGGTAGCTCCTAGGCAGAGGTGTGCCTTGGGGTGTGAAGGGCTCCATTCTGCTGTTCCTTCTGCTGAGACTGAGCTGAGCCCGGGGCAGGGGGCCCATGGTGGCACTGCGAAGGGCTCCTGAGAATCTTGTCTTGACAACAACCAGCTGTGTGGCCATGCCTCTCTTAGCCTGTTCACCTTGGCACCACCGGCGGGGTGATGTATGTAAACTCTGGGAGCACCTGGGGGTTTGCACCCAGCACAGTCACTTCCAGAGTCCAGCCTTCAGTGGACTGAAGACGTTTCTGCAAGGGTCATCTCTTGTTCGGTCCTGCAAGGTCAGGTGGGAAGGACCATCAACCTCATCATTTTATAGATGAGAAAACTGAGGCCGACGGATATCCAGAGGAAGCTTGTCTTCACAAAACACCTCCAAAATAACCCTGGGGCTGTATGATTAGCTTGCTACTGTCACTGTGGATGGGTGACTTAGACAGAGCCCAGCTCCTCTAATCATCACCCCATAACTCCCAGCAGAGGGCCAGTGTCCCACCTGGGGTTTGAGGATAAAGACCCTTCTCTTCCTACTGTGAAATGCTTTCTTTTATATTAAAAACAATATGATAGTTTTTTTTTCCCCCAAAAGAAAAGAGTAACGGGAAATAATTATTTCGGTTTCTTATAATCATTTCACTAACTAGGCTAAGGAGTGCTAAAGGACTGGGCTCCCAGAAGCACCTTCTGGAATGCTGGAAAGGCTTGTTTTGCCTCAATATTATCAGATGTCCTAGCTGCTGCGTGCACCCATTAAACCCAGCAATTCTCTCTTTTATTGCCATAGTGATTACACTGCCAGAGAAATAATCACCAGTGCACACGCTGGAGAAAGGGAGCCATGTCTAGGAGCGTTTTGCTGCAGATGGACTGTTTTGTCAGAAGCAAGGGACTTATTTGAGGCTCTTATTACTGGTGCCCACCTGGCCCTGCATTGTACTGTGGCAGCTAGCCCTCTTGCCACATGAAACCTGGAAGACGGGCCCGAGGATGAGAGAGGGGACCCAGGATAGGAGGTGAGTGGGGTCTCATGCTCCGCTCTGCATATATTCTTGACGGAGCCATCTGGAACCTGGAAGAACCCTGGACAGGTGATGATAAACAAGCTTGGGTAGGGAAAGGCCAGGAGACCTTAGAAAGGCCACTTCTCTTCCCTTCTCTGTGAAATGGGACCACAGCACCTGCCAAGTACTGCGAGAGGTCAGGAAGTCATGGGGCTGCATCATCTGTCTTGATTGACAGTGAGATGTGCATGAGGGCAAAAGAAGAAAATGAAATAAAAACAGTAATTGTGATGCCCCCAGGATGAGCGGACATTCCACCTTTCAGTTTCGGAATTGGGTGGGTCACAGTTAGGGAACCACAATATTTATGGCTGTTCCCCCCCTCCCATATCACCAAGGTTTGGCTCAGAGAAAGGAGTTGTGATTACAGCGCGTTCCCTCTCATTGTCCCAGGTTCAGCCACTAACTCTCTGTGCTCATTTCTAGAGTCTGAACAGTACTGCATTTCAGGTTCTCATGTGTTGGCCTGGTCTGGGGTCTGATGCCTGCTTTCTTTTCTTTTCTTTTCTTTTCTTTTTCTTTTCCTTTCCTTTTCCTTTCCTTTCCCCTCCCTTCCTTCCTTCCTTCCTTCCTTCCTTCCTTCCTTCCTTCCTTCCTTCCTTCCTTCCTTCCTTCCTTCCTTCCTTCCTTCCTTTCAATTATAGGCGCATGGCACTGCTTTTGGCCCTCAAATGTCTTTGATTAGGGGGTCATTTTCCTAGGGGGGAAAAAAAACCTCTTCATTTCCTTGGAAAACCTTTAAGCCACACTCTACTGTGGAATCCTGGATTGACTAGAGAAAAACACAGCTCAGAGCCAAGCATAACTGCGTTCTGGATTTACAGTCCCATTCTGCTACTTTCTTTTTATTTTTAAAATTTTTATTTTACATGTGTGAGTGTTTTGCCTGTATGAATGTCTGTGTACTGCCAGTGTGCCTGATGTCTATGGATGTCAGAAGAGGGTTTTGGATCCTCTGTAACTGGAGCTATAGGCAGTTATGAGCATTCAAAGGGTGCTAGATAGTGCAATTTTGTTGTTGTTTTGAGATGGAGTCTTTCTATATAGCCCTGTCTGTCCTGGAACACATTTTGTAGACCAGGCCTTGGGTTCACAGAGATTCTCCTGCCCCTGCTTCCTGAGTGCTGGGATTAAAGGAGTGTGTCATTGCACTGGGATTGGGCTAGTGTCTTGATTTCCTTGAGTCTCAGTTTCTTCATATTTCATACTTGGACAATGAAACCTGGGTCACAGGGCCTTCACAAGGAAGAAAGAGATGCAAAGCCTGAAACGCCAGTAGCAGCGTCAGTCCAGAAACTAAAGCTCCTTATCTTCTCTCCCTGTGGGTTCTGGCTGCAGCCTATAGGTGAAACTCCCCTTTTCTTCTGGAACTGGCTGTTGTGGACAATGCCTATATGCTTGTCTCCTAGGGAAAGTGGGTTCCTGGTTTCTTCTTCTTCAGCTGTGGGTTTGCCCATGCAGGCTCTTTCTGTCACCTCTCAGCCACCCCTCCCTGTTGCTTGACACCACCCACAGCCCCAGCTGCCTTCCTTCCTCCTCCTGGGCTTGAAATAGACCCGCATTAGAATTAGCAACTGCTCGCAGAGGTGCCTTGTGCAGCCCCTGACATCTTCCGGGTGGGTCTGCTGGTCGCTTTGAAGGCAGTAGGTTGGCTAGTGGTATAGGGTGGGAGGATGGGGTGGGACAGGGTTTCCACATCCTGCCAAAGGGCTTGGAAGTGAACTACAGAATGGATAAGAAACATGTCTGGCATTCAGTGGTGTTTCTGTCCCTTGCCTTGGCTTCTCTGGCAGTGTTTTCACGGACAAACCCTAATACCCCAAGCATCCAGGTACAGCCTCGGTGGCTACCACAGGACCTGATTGGGAAAAGGGTGTTATCTAAAGATTAAGAGATATCTGGAGCAAGTGGTTACAATTCTCCATGCTTGTGTGTGAGGACAAGATGATGAAGACCCAGGGATGGAGGCAGCCACAACAACCAGCCACCCATGGAAAAGTAAGAATATAGAGACCCATAGATTCTCCAGCCCAGGTACCAGTGAGACACACCAGTTCACACCAGAGAGACAGTATAGACCCAAGTCCCACAAGCCTCCGTACTTGCTGGCTTGTCAAGAGAGAAGAGAAAGTGACTGAGGGGGAAAAAAATGTCTACCTGTGGCTCAGCCATGCTCGGTGGGGTTAGGGGGTAGAACTCCAGCCTGAGTCTCCACCTCTGGGGTATTATAGAGGAGGCTTGGAGCTTTCGCTAGGGACCCAGATGCTGGCTTCTGTTTAGTTCCTGACCCCAGGCTACCTTTCTAAAAACCAGAGCCAGAGCCATGCTTAAGGGTGGGCCACACCGGGTGGCACGCTGGTTCTCATGGGTCCAGATCTGAAGGCAAGGTCATATGGAGTTGACTTCTTGGGTCGTAGTTCTGCTTTTAAGTACCTGTCCTATCTGGGGTGGCCATGCATGTCGGAGATCTGTGGGACCCAGGATGGGGAAAAGCCTCGAGTCAGGGGGTAGAGAAGAAGGCACCCAGCAACCCAGCCCGAGAACTCGCCGTGGAGACGTACCATTGACCAGGCTGGCATTTGCGCCACCTGCAGTATTTGCAGGCGCTGCGCCGTCGGCCGCTGTGGGGGTGGGGGGGATGGAAAATGCAATGTCACAATGGAGAAGGCGACGACAGAGACATGAACCTACTGGGGGATAATCACATGGCTTATTCTTAAAAAAAAAAAAAAATCTCTGCTGGAAAGTGAGGAATTCAAATTGGAGATGTGGATGAAATGTCCCTAACGGATGTCACAGGGGTGGGGAGGGATGGAGACTCAGGCACAGAGGGTCTGTGAAGGACAGCATGGGGTGTGGTCAGATGCTCAGGTGGGATGGCACTTGGTTTATTATTTATTTATTTTTGGGACAGGGTCTCACTGTGTAGCCCCGGCTAGCCTGGAGTTCACTTTGTGGAGCAGGCTGCCCTTGAACTCACAGAGATCCACCTGCCTCTGCCTCTGCCTCTGCCTCTGCTGGGATTAAAGGTGTGCACCACACACCTGGCTGGGATGGCAGTTCTATGGTGACATCTGGACTGCGTTGGCTCAGCTGGTCAGGCGGGAACCCCATGGAATGAGAAAGTCCAGTCCAGAAGTCAATTATAAATGCTCAGTGAGTGGTGCTGTATGGCCTAGACACTTCTCAGGGGCCAACCCCGTGACCGCCATTGTTGTGTCCCTGAAGAACTGCCGTCAATGGTGGTGACTTAGGATCAGGGCACTGCCGGCCACTACCTTCTCTTTCCCTGACCAGCGCACTGAAGATCACAGGAGTAGTCCCCTGTGAGATATCTCACCAGAAGAGGGGCTTCCAGCTATCTCCATGGATATTAGGGAGATCTTAGAGGTTAACAATGGGATAGTACTACCCAGTTCACCCCTGTGGAGTTCTGTCTTGGGGGGGGGGACACACGGTGTGCTTGGAGACGGGAGCTGAGACAGCTCGGTAGGGACGCTAGTCCGTTGTGTGTTTTGGGGGCGGGCGGGAGTGCTATGACAAGCTTGGTCCTGCATGCTGGCGTGTGGGGCTTCAATGGAGGTGCCCTTTGGCCTGGGACATAAGGACAAGAGGGCAGAGTGAGTTGTTTTTTTTTTTTTTCTTGTCCTGCTTGGGTGGAATAAAGGAATGTCTATAGAAGATAATCTCTAGTAGGCACGGGGCCTCCTCCAGCTATGTGCTGCTGAGCTAGGGGCCAGGCCTAGGGGTCCACAGCTATAGCTATTTCTAAAAGCCCATCTTCCCTGAGGGTGGTCTTACTGTACCTGGTAGCTGAAGGCCATCCCCCTTCTTCACACCTGTGTGATGATTTTTGAGACATGTTAATGAAGAAGCACATACAGTCTCATGTACAACACACCAGACCACCCACCCACACACACATGCATGCCTACACCACACCCACGCACGCGTGCACACACACCAGACACACACACACATACACACCACATACACAAGCACACACACATACACATGCCCACACATACCACACACACATGCATACACCACACGTGCACATACACACATCACACACACAGGCACACACACGTACACACACGTACACACATGCACACACATGCACACAAGACCATCCTGGACTCCAGAGCTGTGACTCAGGCTGACATGATGGGATGGGAAGACCAAGTGGTCCAGTTCTGGCTCTCCTGCCACAAACCTTTCATACGCCACCTTGACTCCCTACCCGGAACTCAATCTTGTGCCTCTCTGAATGGTGGTTCAGATTCAACAAAGAACTCTGAGTGGTACCCAAGTGCCACTGAGGTCTATCTTCCTCATGGCACTGTCAGACGTGGGACTGGCCTGCAGAAGCTTCTGGGTATCTGTGCCCTAGCCAAGTCCCACAGCGACCGGAACATGGGTACAGAGTACTGCACTCCAGCAGCTTCCTAGGTCTGCCCTACTGCACACACTCAGTCTATTCACCCTGACTACAGGTCCTCACTCATGGGTTCCTGTCCCAGTACCTGCGGGGACTCCCAGCCAGGCCTGTGCCCCAGTTAGAACTCAGTCCTACTTTGCTCTCTCCAGCCTCTTTATTTCCCAGGTAACAGATCAGCTTCACTCCTCATGCTGGATGTTGAAGGGATAGTTGTGACCCAAGGGGACACACCAGAAAGAAGTTCTTCCCTCAGGCACCAGCAGCCTTCCTTCCTGATGCAGGTTTTGTGTTCCAGTGGCCTCTGGGCATGGGTCGCATACCTGCCTGAACTTGAGGAAGGCCATCTGCTCTCTTATTAACAACTCCAAAAGGTCAGATTGTTGGGGGAGCTACCCTAGAGCTCTGGAAAGGAGACTAAAGACAGAGTCTGAAAGGGGACTGTGCCTGAGACTGAGTGTGGATTCCAGGTAAGGGGCTGGCTGTTTTGGGCTTTGGGCTCAGAGCTTTTTATGTGAGCATCTTTCCTCTGTTCTAAAAGGTATTTGTAACAGACTGATACTCACTGCACTGAGGGGCACCCTGTGAGAAGACTCTTACTTTGAAAGGGGAAGTGGACCAGGACATGGACAATGTGTCAGTTCGAGGAATCAGAGTCTTCTCTGCCCATTCCTGGCATTCATCTTGCTGGAAGGAGTGACAGTTTTGCTGGTAGAATTGACAATGTCAGAAGGAACATTTCTGTGTGGATTTATACTCAATACTGAGGTGAGGGGGAGCCAGCTCCTGCTGGTTGCTTTTACTGCTGGAGCCTGGCAATTGAATGATGTACTCAGCATCCTGAGCCAGGCTTTAAGGGAAAGGAGGGGCCTCTGTGACATGACTGGACAAGACAAAGACTAGGGCTGATGAAACATACAGAACCCACCCAACTCCAGCAGGCTCATGGGACAAAGGTGGAGGCTGTTGGCACAGGGCATGATGTAGCAGGCGCTCTATAATGTGGAGTGAACAGATAAATGGAAAATGTGGCCTTAAAAGCTCCTTTTCTTTTCTTTTTTTTTTTTTTTCAGTGTGTGCATGTAGGAGGCTTACCTTTTTTGTCTTTCTTCTCTTCCTCTTCACCACCAGCCCCCAGTAGGGTAAATATGATGCCAGTCTGAGAGTTCACACCCACAGCAGTCACCACCATCCGTCCTGAGCCCTCCATCACATGGGTCCCTGCAGAAGGTATAAGCCCTATTACTATTACATGGCCAAAGCCTCCTCCCCAAATGAACAGAAGGATCAGGTATCCATCAGCTTCCAGGGCCTTTCCCACTGAGATCATTGGGTGGCACCTTCATTTAGGAGCTACATCATAAGCATGGTGTGGCCTTTGTAGATGATACTGCCTCAGGGGAGGCTGAGATGGGCTTGTGACAATATTAGAAGATTGCTGTTGCCTCCTATTCTAGCCTGGACAGTCACCACCTGCTTGTCTCTATCTTCCACTTCTTCACCATTATAGGCCAAGCAGAGAATACAGTATTTAGGATCAGACCTCATTCTGCAACGAGGAAGAAATGAGAACTAAGACCCAGAGAGTACTGCTGAGAACTGGCCCACCTTCCCACCTAATGGAGAATTCAGGTGTCCATGAACTGAAATGAGAAAACCTCAAATCATATGTATATGTATGTGTATGTATGTGTCTGTGTATGTGTATATGTATGTGATAGTGGATGCCGGGAAGCAGACTATTCTGTCCACTGGGAAGTGCAGGGTGGCCTCTGCCCTCTGCTCCTCAGCCAACTCTGGCATGTTCAGTAGCCGTGGCTGCTCTATGAGATTGCCTAGCAGTGTTAAGCTGACCCATCACTTCACAGTGCTCTGGGTACCAGCTCTGCTCCTATGCTGGGAGGAGGGGATTGACTGTCTCATTAAAGGGAAGCCCCAGGAAAGCTTTGGGACACCTACTGTGTACACAAAAGAAATATTTGTAACACCTACTGTGTGCTGGTGCCATGCCTCACCCCTACCCTAGAAGCAGTAATCTCAGCTCTCACACCAGGGGAAACTGAGGCTGAAAGGGGGAGGTAGGCTGCCCCAGGCCCCACTCCAATGAAGGACAGTGCTACCCTTTAAACTCTCTGTCTTTACAGCCTAGGATATTGGACACAGCCCACTTCTTTCCAGGGAAAAGTCCCGAACAGCTAGCCCTGCAGCCCAACTGAGAGGACACTGGCCAGGAGGTAGCTGTGCTGGTCCTTGAGTCTGGAGGCCAGAGGAAGGCTGTTTTCCACCTGCTTACCAGAGGAGGGATGGAAAAAGATGTGAGGCCAATTTCCACCCAAGATAAGCACACCTCAAATCAACTTCTAATCTAATCACTCCCATCACCACCCAGGGCCTGGCAGCTCCTGTCACCTGTGCAGGTAGATAGAGGAGAGAGAAGGGGACAGGACAAAGCTCATCAGATCTGGGAAGCCTCCGGGAGCTTCTACTGCTAGGTAGAAACAGGGGCTTGGTGGGGGACACAGCCCCTGTCCTCCAAATACCACTCTGGCAATGTCCTGCAGCCCAGATCCCATCCAAGGCAGTGATTCTCAACCTTCCTAATGCTTCCTAAATGCAACCCTTTAATACAGTTCCTCATGTTGCAGTGACCTCAACCATAACATTATTTCCTTGCTACTTCTTAACTGTATTTTTTCTACTGTTATGAATTGGAATGAAAATATCTGATATGCGACACCTGTGAAAGAGTCATGACTCTTAAGGGGTCATGACCCAGAGGTTGAGAACCACTGTGTCAGGGCTTGTCTGGCTCTCTGAGGCCCAAGTGATGCAATCAGAACCCAGGATCAGATACCAGCCTTCTGGACTCCTTGTCCTCTGACCTCTGGCACTTGACTGCTGATCCTGGGGCATCTGAAGCCTTTTCCGAAGCTTGAGATAGTCTTAAGCAAACTGACCCAGTGTTCAATATTCTGGAGTCTATCGAATGCCACCCACTTCTCAGGGACTTACAAAATACTGGAATTTCTGGCCAATGTATAAACACTGGAAGATGGTTTGCTCTCTAAAAGTTCAGATTTCCAGCAGCTTCAGGGGGATTGCTGGGTAAGTGCTGTGGGTCATGCCTTTCCAGGCATAATAGAGCAACTGCAGCCTCGCTCTTGTGTCAAGGACCCCTGGGGCTACAGACTTGGGTTTCTGGGATTTCTTAGCCCTTCTCTTTGCCATTCTGATGTGTTATGGTTTGGTGTTTGTTTACCTATCCATCCTGGGGTCAGGTGTGTGGATGCCTACAACTTGGTCTGCATATGAGATCTTTCTAGATTCTTCCCCCCGATTCTGGGTTTCGTGGATGCTAAGCCAGAACTCATTTTCTCTATCTCTCCTCACTTTTGCTATGCTTGAAAGTGAGTGCAAGCCTATGGTCCCCACAACAGACTAGGAATACCCCTCACGCAAGATGTGGACACTAGCTCCTGGGGGCTCAGGGTCCATCTAGGACCATGGCTGAACCCAGCTGGGACCCATCTTGCCTCTTCTTGACTTTTCTTTGCCTTCTTTGACATCAGATGTGCCATGCGTCAGCAGATACCAGCAGAGAGTTCAGAAACTGGGATTTGGGAGAGGTCCATGGATACCCCAAAACTAGTGTCTATGCATCCCTGAAGGGTCAGCAGACAGGAAGGCTGGTAAGATCTCCTGGCAGAGGTAGAGAGCTCAAGACATCTAGTCATGGCAGCAACGGAGAAGATCTATCTAGAGGAGCTGGGGTGGGGGAGGGGCATCCCTGAGAGGCAGAAGAGACAGGGCAGGACATGGAGATGAAGGAAAGCTCCTTCCTTCCACAATACTCCTATGAACTGGGACAACTAACCCACTTTACACACAGGCAAATAGAGGATCAGGGAGGATGAAGAGATTGTCTGGGGCCCCCAGCCTAAGAGTATCAGAACACAGCCTTGTCTCCACCAGCCGTAAGGAAAGACATCCACAGGGGTCCTCAGCGTGTCCTACTGACCCATGGCAGTGGCTCCTCTTTTGTGACACCACTGACACTCTGCAAGCCTCACAGGTAAACGGCTGCTCAGAGAAGGCAGCAACATTAGGTCCCAGAGCCCAGGTCCCATTTATCCCCACTACCTGCTCTTCCTACATTCTGCACAGCTTCTCCTTCCTCACTCTGCAGGGCTCAGGGCTAAAGCTGGGCACAGCCTCCTGATGGCAGTGGCCTCAGGCTCAGAGCTCCTTACCTGGACTTGATTTGCTAGAGAATTGGTCCAGAAGTCTGTCTGCCTGCTGTGGGCAGGGGCCCTCGGTGAGAGACCAGTTAGATTAGGTCTGGCGGGAACATCATCAGTCGTATTCTTTACCTTAGATAGTTTGCACCATGCAAAACTCACCAACACTGCAAAGCAGTACCCAGTATGCTGATAGGGATTGCTGTGGAGGGCACTGGTGGCCATGGGGACCTTCCTAACGGGATAGGTCCTGAGCAGATGGCAGCAGTCAAACAGACAAAGAGGAGGCAGGATGGGTATTGGAAGGAGGGTCTGTCTGTCTGTCTTGAGTGGCCGGAGGGAACAAATCCCGTGGGTCTGTAAGTGAGGTCTGGTGGGTGGTGGCTGAAACACGTCATCAGATGTAGGGTCCTCCCAGCAGGCCACTCTGATCTGTCTAGGCTCTGTTTATACAGCCAGCAATGGAAACATACTCTCTGCTTATTCTCTTTTTATTTGTTCAGTTTCCTGATGCTGGCCTCACCTGTCCATGCTCGGCTGCCCTGCCCCTTGCCACCCAGCTGGGCTTCTTCGTATGGTTGGTTTCTTCCTTGTCCATCTAGTTAGTTTATCATGGGCCTGGGGAGCTATCTTTGGGGGATCTCCACTCCAACTCTCCCTTTTCTACCCTCCCTAGGAGCAGACCCTTTCAAGCTGAGAGGCATGTTTTCCAGAGCTTCCTGCCAGCCCTGCAAGGTCAGCACAACCTATGGGAATCCCTGGCCCAGCCATTCTTCTACATCTTGCCCTCAAGGATGTTCCTTGGACCTTGGTATCTGGACAGCAAAGCTAAGCCACTTTTCTGACTCCACATAGCCTTGGGGACCTGTGGTGGCTTCTGTGGATCTCCCCTGCTTGTCTTGGTCCTCACATGCCACCTGCTCCTGACCTGAACACTAGCCCATGCTTCAAGGACCCACTTGATTCTTAATGAGACCTAGAGTGTCCACTCTGTCCCTGGCTCCATCTTAGCCCATCTGGGATGTGTTCCCTATTCCATCTCCTAAGACTTCAGGCCTCCATTGTCTTCTGGTTTCTAGCATGTCTGGCCCCTAGATGTCCCTACCTCTACCATCTTCCTTAAGCAAAGGAAGGAACAAGAGCCATAGAAGCCTTAGCTGTGCTCCCCAAACTCCTCCTCATGGCTCCCCTCCTGCCTCTTCCTTGGAACAACCTCCTGGCTTTGCCTTCCATCTTTAGCTTGGTTTCATTTCCAGCACCTCATTTCCCTCTGGGCCTCCTGCATCTGTGAGAGACCTGAGACCCTGTGATTCATCCTAAACCAGTGACAGTCAGCTTCCCAAGCATCTCAGTTGCTTCGTGATCTCTCTGCGTCCTGGAGTCCTCTCTGGTTGGTTTATGACACTGTTAATTAGTGACCCCGCATGCTGTCTCCACCAGGCTCCTGCCGGCATCCCTCTTACTTTTTCTCCATGCTGTCTGGAGACCTGTTGCCATCTACTCAGGCCCTGGGCTCCCATAGAAACCCTTGAACTCTTCTCCCAAGATGGATCCCTGCCTGTCAATTCCTGCAGCTCAGAGGCCAGAACCAGGGCCAGTGGGGCTGGGGCCATCTTCTGGTCAGGGGTTCCAGAGGGCACTTGAGACCTTCCATGACCCCTCCCAAAGACTCCAGGGCCTTTGCACTTGCTGTTTCTCTGCCCAGAACCCACTTCTCAAAGTTCTGATTTTAGCTCTAATGCAGCAGTTATCAACCTGTGGTTTGCAAGCCCCTGGCAAACCCCTGTCTCCAAATATATTTTCATTACGATTCATAACAATAGCAAAATTACAGTTATGAAGTAGCAATGAAAATAATTTTATGGGTGGGGGGTTACCACAACATGAGGAACTGTAATATAAGTTCGCAGCATTAGGAAGGTCGAGAACCACTGATCTAACGTAAGCTTCTAAGTCAGGTGTTTCCTGACCTGCTGAGATTCTGCCCGGCCTCAGGGCCCCTTCTCACTGCAATCTTGTGTCTTTGATGGATTTACTACCTTGGACATCACCTCACTATTTGCTTGTGTGTTTCTTCCTTGACTGTCACCCTTATCAGGTTCTAAATTCCAGCATGGCACAGACCTTGTCTGTCTTGTTAGTCACTGGAATACAGTAGATGCTTAATAGATATAGGGGCATGCTGGCTAGTTTCATGTCAACCTGACCCAGACTAGAGCCATCTGAGAGGAGGGAACCCCAGTTGAGAAAATGATATCCTAAGCTTGGGCTGAGGGCAAGCCTGTAGGGCATCTCTTACTTAGTGATTGATGGGGGAGGGCCCAGCCCATTGTGGGTGGTGCCAGACCTGGGCAGGTGGTCCTGGGTTCTGTGGGAAAGCAGGTTAGGTAAACCATAGGGAGCAAGCCAGTAAGCAGCACCCTTCTGTAGCCTCTGCATCAGCTCCTGCCTCCAGGATCCTGCCCTGTTTGAGTTCCTAACTGCTTTTGCTGATGAACTGTTATATGGAACTGTGAGTGAAATATACCCTTTGTCCCCAAGTTGCTTTTGGCCATGGTGTTACATCATAGCAATAGTAATCCCGACTAAGGCAGTGAATAAATTCTAGATAAATAAATACTTCAGTCTTCCCATTATCTGAAAGACTTATGGATCTTTCTTTTATATTGGCAGGGAATCCCACTTGCCTACAGGGAAATTGACCAAGTGAGCTCCTGTTCATCCTGTAAACCCCAGCTCAGTATGACCTCATCTGGCCTCTTTGCTCCCTTCTTGGTTTTTACATACCGTTTTATATCTCTCCTGGAGGGTTAACTCTTTGAGGGGGGCTATTCCCAAACTAGTCTGGGCTGGAGACACCAAGGGCATGGTTAGGCAGTGAGGCCTCTTGGTGTCTCTGCAGGGAAGGGTTTCACAGAGCTGTTTCCTCCACCCACAGCTTCCCCAGCCCAGCTCTTGCCCCTGTGACATCTAGAAAACTTTAAAAAAAAATTGCCAATATCATTAGGCAAGCCCATCTGGGGAATTCCATTCTACTCAGAATACCGTCCTGATTCCTGACTACAGTCCAGAATCTCCGCACCTATCTCCCTTTACCCCTTGTTCCAGTGTGGTCCTGCCTCTGGCCCTTTGCATTTGCTTCCCTTCCTGCCCTGTGAGCAATTCCCCAGGAGTAGCAAGGCTGGCTCCCTCCCACAACCTCCCCTGTCACAGGGTCTGACGCAGGGCGAGTGTCCAGAAAGACTGTTGCTTTTCAGGAAACCAAGCCACTAGAAGCTGTGTGGCAGGGGTAGGACACCCCATGATGTGTGCTCTAGTAGTGTCAGGCCTGAATGTAGCTCCGCATATGTGAGCTTACTTGGGAAAGGGGTAGTGTGCTCCAAGGGAGCTGGTCCCGCCAGCGACCCCAGAGCCAGGGACCACACCAGCCTCCCCGTGGTGGATGGGAAATGCTCTCAGGGGCGCTGTGTGCTGCAGCTTACCTGACAGCAGCATGGGGTCCTTATCCACAGACTTGCGCACCTGGTCAGACTCCCCTGTGAGCGAGCTTTCGTCGATCTTGAGGTCATTTCCCTGGATGAAGAGGCCATCGGCAGGAAGGAGGTCACCTGGTTGAAGGAAGACAAGGTTCACAGAGTCAGGTGGCCAGAGAAGCTGGGGCATCCATGGGGAAGGTACCTACTAGGCTCCAGCATGCAGAACCAAGATGGTGCCTGCAGATGAGTGACATCCATGGGGCCTGGCACAGAGCCACCCAGGCCCAGGCAGGCCATGTCCTTCATATTGTATAACCTTTGACCTGCATGTGTCTCTGGGCCCAGTGTGCTCTGTGGTTCATTTTTCTATGATCCTTTTATGGCTTAGAGAAGGTCTTTCATGACACAGCAGACTATTTTGGGTAGACTGGGGACACTGCAATCAAGTGAGCCACTAGGGCTGAATGAGGAGGTCCATGCCAACCTTCCCAATCTGTGTCTACTGCCCTAGGCTATATATTATCCAAACACCCTTTGGAGCTAGCCTACCTACTTCTTCAATCGCAATATGACTGGCCTGGGATTCTCACCCACCTTCTTCTCTTCCTACTAACTTCCACCAGGCTGCACAGATCTATCTGAAGTCAATTTGGTGATGGGAAATGGAGCTTGTCTCATAAACCCACCCTGAGTCTTAGGGATGCTGTGCTGGGAAGCCTTCTGAGCCTTCTGTTTTCAGACTATGAGCAATGATCGATTAGTCATGTCTGCTACAGGTGGAAGCTGGAATGCAGTGGCATTTGTGCTGTGAATCTGACATTTCTGGTTTAAGTGCATATGGCAAGCCTGTCTCGTCCGGGACTCTCAGGGCCTCAGAATACATCTCGCCATGACATCAGCTGGGTTAGGCTCTTTGTATCTGCCTGTCCCATCCCACCTCCACCCAGGCTCCAGCTCTAGAATGATGGACGGGACACTTGCCATATTTGATCTGGGCGATGTCCCCAACCACGATTTCGGCCACAGGGATCTGGACCACCTGGCCAGCCCGGACTACGGTGAACTTCTGCTCCTGCTCAATGCGGCTCTGCAGTCCCCGGAACTGTTTCTCCTTACTCCAGTCATTGAAGGCTGTGACCAGGACCACACAGATGACGGACAGCAGGATGGCGGCTCCCTCGATCCAGCCTGCTTCTGCTTCACCTTCATCCTCAGCCCCACCCTGGGCCGTGGCACAGCCTGTAGAGAGACAGGGAAGCAATGGGTTCCCAGGCCACCAGACAGGAGCTGCCACATAGCTTAGCTATGCTGAGTAAGCACTGATGATTAGATGATAGGGACACATTTGATCAGGAGCCTCTGTGTGCCATGCTCCAGGCACAGGGCTTCTCCTGGTCACTTTGAAGGGCGCTGGCTGTGAGTATCCCACACATGGGGAGTTAAGTCTTCTCCGAGAGGTCTAATAACTAGGAAGGGCAGGTGGAAATCGAGAATGCCACCCCAGGCGGCATGACTTCAAACCCACCATCTGAACCAAACCTGTTCTGTCTGTTCTAGCTGTGACCTCAAATGAATGACTCTTTCTCTGACCTTCAGTTTTCTCATGAGACGGGATTTCATGTAGCCTAGGCTGGCCTCAGGCTGAGAGGCAGCTGAGATGATTCTCCTGCCTCCGCTTCTGAGATTACACCATGCCTGCCTTTATGTGATACCGTGGAAGTGGGGGAGGGGCAGCGCTGACAACACCTCCTGGGGCTTAGGGACAGGAAAGTGGCATCTCCTGGGCATATAGCCTACGGCAGGTTCTCCTCAACTCAGGCCACAGCAAGGGCAATAGGACTCAAGAAATAGGCTACTACCTGACCCACAGGGACTCCGTACCCTACAGGTGGCACTACTGAGTCCCCAGTATGGGTCTAGAATTCTGAAGGTTGGCCAGGCCTACAGGATGGTGAGAAAAAGAAATACACCAATGTCCCAACATGGAGGCTTAGACCAAAGCTCTACAGAGCCAGGGTGTGCAGAGCCTATGGCTCCCAACCTCTCCCGGCTTCCCACAGGGGAGCAAGAGGCATCTAAAATTTTCTAAATACAGAACCTGAGGCTCTGAGTGGCCAGGGGACACAGCCTGGATGAGAGCTGAGTGCTCTCCTCATGATTTATCTCCCAGGAGTGGTGTCTGACTGTCTGCCTTGGTCAACTCAGAAGGGTGCTTTCCACAGGGGCTGGGCCCACAGAGGTGCTAGGCAAGCATCAAGCATCCATCCTTGTCCCCAGCTAGCCAAAGAAAGAAAAGAAGCTCAGCTGGAGTCACAGAGCAGATCTAAAGTTTGAACCCAGGCCTGGAATCTGAGCCCAGAATGGTTCTGTCCTGTGCCTCTGCGCCCAAGGCAGGTGGCAAATCTTCACTGACCATCTGGGTATCCAATGTGATTCCAAGGAGTAGAGAACAGCAGTTTCAAGAGACCCCGGCGGAAGCTTCTGGAAACCCAGGGGTCAGAAGCAACAAGACCGGAAGGTCAAGGAACGTGTGGGAAGGCAAGGGATCAATGTGGCCAAGCAGTGCCTGCTGCTGGAAGATTTCGGGTCTCCAGATGAAGCAAGTACTCCCCAAAGGCCAGTAAATGCCTGGAGGACTTTGAAGGCTGTCCCCTTGGAGAATTTGAATTGTCTCAGTAATGTAAAACTGTTCAATCAGATCACTGTTTAGTGGCAACGGCCGTTACAACAGTGCCACTGAGGCAGAACTGATTCAGATCTCACTGCTGAGTGCTATGGTGCATTCCATTTTCCAGGGTGCCTCCATTTTCTCACCATCAGAATGGGGTGGTCACAGGTGGCCCCCTCTTCAGGTGGCCCCAGGGTGAAGGGAGCCCTCCTGAAGTGCTCAAGCCTTGAGCCCATGGCACAGAGCAGGAAGCACCTGGAATTCAATCACCTGAGATAAGGGAGCTAAGGGACTTTGGGCCTGTGTTACTATGAATGACACACACAGGGATACAATTCCTTTACCCCAAGGATGGGAAAAACAGGGGGACCTTAGAGATGGACTCCTGGTGCTGTCAGCCTTCAGTGTCAGAGGATTCAGCTTCCTGGCCTCTGACCAGCTAACTACAGGTGGAAATGATCAGTGGGAGACACTGCATCTGCACCAAGCAGGCCCAGGCCTCTCTTGTCATTATCCCCTAAGTAACATGGCTGAACAGCTGTTCACACAGCTGTCATGCTGGGTGTCATCAGAAACCCAAAGAGGATTTCAAGGACACAGAAGACTGCAAATAATGCCAACAGTATCCACAGAAGGTTCCAGAGGATCCAGGGGATTTCCATATACATTCTGAGACATGAGAGTAGGGAAGGGAGGACTCGAATCCAGAGCCCGATACTTCATTTTGTAGAATGTAGCTTGTCCCTACTTCTTGTCACATGCTCTGTAAAGGAGATGCCTGTCTCCCCTTGTGTGCCTCCTTGGAGTCTCCATGGAGTTGTTACTGGAAGACTGGGACACTTAGAGTCAAGTCAGTGTATCCTGCTGACATTCTGGATTCAAAGTCCAGGACTAGCTGCGAAACCCTCAGAGAGTGACTCAGCCTCTCTGAGCTTCCAACAAACACTAGTACATACTGGGTTCTGGTAAGTGTTGGAACTCTTCCCCTTTTCCTGAGTGCTCCAAGGACCCTTCTTAGGATGCTGTTACTCCCATGTCTTTTCTGTAGCCTAGAAGGAAAGGATGCAGAAGCCCGTCCCTTGCCAGGATTTGGCACACCTGGACTTGAGTGAATGTCCCCAAGGGTCTGCTACTTGTGTGACACATGACTGTAATATGGGCCCAGGTGTGAGCCTCTCATATTGGCTTGCTGTCCACACTGAGGGAGGCCTAAGGCCTGGGGCTGTAGCCCATGCATCTGAGGTCAATCCTATGCAACTACCTTCTCCTCAAAGCCCAGCACCTTCCCTTGTCTAGTGGAATACAGACCACATACCAGCCAGCATAAGAACCTCCCAGCTGAGACAATGGTGAGTAACACAGCAGGTGGATTCCCACGTGGGACCACACGCAGGCTACTTAGGAAGCTGGTGGAAAGTGTCCCAGCTCTCCAAGGGGATGAGGCTGTGAGGAACCTGCCCCACCTCCCTCCTTCCACCACCTTGCTAGTGGGACACAGTGTAGGCAGCTGCCTTCCACCCAAAGTGTGGCTGGAGCAGGAGAAGTGAGATGAGGCAGGGGCAGAGCCGGGCCAACTGGGGCCACATTCCAGCCACCAAGCCATGATCTCTGGGCCCTGGGTTTGTGTGCCCCAGAGATGCTCATAGCAGCAGTCTGGAGACATGGGGTATCTCTGGGTACATCCAGTAGCTCTGTGATGTCCTCCCTTAGCCTCTGCTAGCTGCCCTCATCTCACCCTGTTCACTAGGGCCACGGGAGGCTAATGATGAGGTGACTCAGCTGCAGCCCCGTCTGTGGAGCTGATGGTTTTGGCCAGAGCCACAGAGTTTCAGCCTCTTGGTGGGTGACCTTGGCACATCCTCCGTGGCTCATGGGCTCATATGAGTAGCATCTAGCTTCTCCATGGTCTAGCCTGATAAGTGGAGCTGGTTTTCACCCCTCATCAATGACGACCTCCCTTTGCAACAGACGGAGGCCATTACAGAAAAAAACGCAACCAATCAAAATACAGAGTTGTGGAGCCCAGTTCCAGTGGGTCACCTACACAACATCCCCATGCCTAAGGGTCAGGGAACATTTAGGAAGAAGGGGCAGAAGGACTGTAAGAGCCAGAGGACCAGGGATTTTGCTGTGAGATTGTATAACACCAGAGGCTACGCCCACAAAGTCTCATCAACATGACTGCCCAAAGGTGAGCTGAACAAGGGCACTAATGAACATGCCAAACCGCACAGGGGAAAAGCCCAGGAGATCCCTTGACCTCACACAGAGAAGTGGAGACGGCTGAGAAAAGCCGGGAGCAGGGGAGGTGGTCTTCCCCAGGAAAGAGCACACCAAACGGTTGTTCAGTGCCAAATGACCAGTCCTGAAAATACGTATGCAGTTAACATTGTATGGACTCAACAGGTTGTATTCAGGAGTAGATATGCATATGCAAATACATATATGCATGTAGTAACAATTGATGAAAAAAGAGACCATGAATTTGAAGGAAAGCTGGGAAGGGTGTGTGAGAGGATTTGGAGGGAGAAAAAGGAAGGGAGAAGTATAATTAAATGTCATCCTCAAAAACAAATAAACAAAAGCACGCGAGCACGCACACACACACACACACACACAGTACCTGTCTACAGAGTTACTCTGTGGATTAAGTGAGGAGGCAGTGGACTTTTGCCACAACAGCTCCCACTTTGGGGTAGCTATGGAGACTGTAGGACCTATATCAGTCTTACCATCTGCAATCTTCTGCATCTGCCGAAACCATGGTGTCCACAATGCATCCCTCTTCTTTAAATATGACTTATCTTACGTGCATTGGTGTTTTGCCTGCAGGTATGCCCATGTGAGGGTGTTGGATCCCCTGGGACTGGAGTTACAGACTGTTGTGAGCTGCCATGTGGGCTCTGGGGATTGAACCCAGGTCCTCTGCAAGAGCAGTCAGTGCTCTTAACCACTGAGCCAACTCCCCAACCCCAGCGTATCCCTCTTACTAGGATATGGAAATGTCCTAGGAACTACTGTCTGAAAATTTCACCTTCCTTCTCATTGTTAACTTGACCTCTGAAAATCATCTATCTTCCTTTTCTGCCCTAGCTGCTAGGAAGCTCAAGTTAAACTTAATTAAATCTGAGTCATAGTAGCAATGATAACTGGTTTATTTGCTTACACTCTTTTCTGCCCAACTTCTTATTTGCCTTCATTCCTATCTTCTATGGAGAGATCATGTGGAAAAAAAAAAGGATAGGGCCAGATAGATGGCTCAGTGGTTAAGGCTGCTGAGCCTAATGACCTGAATTCAATCCCAAGAACCCACTGGTAGAAAGAGAGAACTGACTCCTGCTCCTATGGTCAAGTGACAGAAAGAAATGGCTCGGAAGGAGCCTGACAGTGTGCTGGAACGTGCTCCATGGTCAAGCCCGAGGCCTCCTGGGTGGGCACTGTGGTCCCGTGCTGGACATTTAATCGCAAGAGCTGGTCTTTGGGGAGGTAACATGGATTAGATGAGCCCAACCTGGGTCAAGGAAATTGCTGAGCCAGCATAAATGCCCAGCTTTACCAGGTAAGGGCCCTCACCCCCGTCCATGTAGTAGTGCCGCTCAAGCCCTAGCCTTGCTGTTAGGCTTGGGGAGTTTCCAGAACAGGAGACATGTCTCTGTATAAGTCATGTGGTCTGTAATAGTTAGTGAGAATAAAAGAAAACGATCTTAGATACTGAGTGGCCCAGAACAACTTAACCTCCTCATTACACCCCAGTTTTCTCTTCTTTAAAGTAGGCACAAACCCAGAGCTGGGCATACTGAAAGTGCCTGATAATAAACGCTCACCATGGCTATCACTGCTGCCGGTCTAGCCCTGCCCTCACAGGTGGGCTGACTGGGGCCTTGGGCATGTATTTGTCTCTGTGGCCTGAGCCCCAGCAAGCTTGCTCTCTGTGCAGTGCTGTGGGTGCTGCCCACACGGGCACAGCCCCGCATACTGGGTGCCATCAGGAGCACCTGGGGCACCCTACCTTCGTTGTTCTCTCCGGGTGGGTGGTAGAAGGACAGTCCCAGGGAGATGATGGCCGCGATCTCCAGGATGATGAGGGTCACGTCCTGCAGTGCCTCCCACACCAGCTGCAGGAAGGTTTTTGGTTTCTTTGGAGGTATGAAGTTTTGCCCAAAAATCTGTTTCCTCTTTTCAAGGTCTGGAGCGGTGCCTGGCAAACCTGTGGACAGAGGGAAGGTGAGTTGGGCTGGGGCCAGGAGATGTGCATGCCTGAGGCTGGGAGCTGCGGAGCGGGTGGGCAAGCACTAAAGGAGCCTTCCACGCATTGGCCTAGGAGCCCAGCAATCCAAGAGATTCACGTCCTGGGGGTGGCAGCGGGCCGGGGGGTTGTGCTGCTAAATGAATAGAGGAACCTGGAAACATGGATGTTTCCAGACTCACGGTGGCAAGCATCTCCATAAACACGTATGCCAAAGAACACGTCACATACACGACTCCGGATATCCCAGCCCAGCCCAGCTTGCTACAGATCAGCACAGTCATGCGGCACAAGGCCCCTTTTATGGACTGAAGGTGACCACCAGCGTGGCTGGTCACCCAGTCACATGGTTGAAAAATTCTTAGCCAGACCTTTGTACGCTAAGCAATCTGTGACTATCCAAGCCTAACTCTCAGAACTGGCCAGTGCCCCTGGGAAAACACTCTCTGGAAACGTGACTAAGGCCAGAGCATCTTGGATTATCCAGGTGTCCCTCTGTCCAAAGATAAGTTTCCTCATGCTGACCCAGGCAGGTAGAAGCTGTGTCAGAGGATGAGCAGAGATTGGAGGGAAACAGCTACAGACCCCCGCAGAGCCCCCAGGAGCTGAAGGAAGCTGGGAATGGCTTCTCCTATGGGCATAGGGCAGAGTCTGGCCAACACACTCTGGCTTTGGAGCTGGGGCTCCAGAGCCGTGAGAGAAGCCAGCTCTGGCCTGAGGCCACCTAGTATGGGCAACCCTGCTGCAGATCCTGAGCTATGAGACAGCACAGCACCGGCTGGGAGCCAACCTCCCCGTGGGCACACATGGACAGTACTGTGAGATCCATGTGGAGGGCAGCAGATGCTCAGGTGGCTCTGGCCATGGCTCCTGGAGCAGGGCAGCAGGACAGTCAGGGCGGCTCTTGCCATGCACCTGTTGGAATAGGTGACAACCCACGAGGTCTCTGTGTCTAAATCATTCCCTAGCCTCATTCATTTACCTGACCTCTGACCTTGCAAAGCGCCTCATGATTTCCAGATTGAAGTCACAGGTTTCATCTTGCTGATTGCTTCTCATCTGATTTCTAGGCTACATCCGAGGTCTCCTCTTTCTCTCTCTGCCCTGTCCCAGCCCCCCTGGGCCATTCCCAGCTGGCCTTTGACTGCCCATGCTGAACCATCCACAGCATGCCCTCCATCTCAAAGAGGCAGGATGCAGCCACCTGCTGGATGCCAGCCTTGGCCACGATGGATTATGGGTTTGTTGGGTGAGTCCTCTCTCACCCGGCTTCATGCTCTGGGGCAAAGGTCGGTATCAGGCCTGCCCCTCAGGATGGCAGAGGAGGCCTTAAACTCACAGATTGCATGTCTGAGTGTAGTGAGGTCCAAGCATGAGGGCCTAGGCCCCGCCAGGCTCACTTGTCTTAATAGGACAGTTAAGGTGGGTGGAGTTAGAGATGGGGTGCACCTTTCAAAAAAACCTCAGCCCTTTAGTTCTTTCCTGGGAAGGCAGAAGCCTGAGGCATGCTGGGATGGGGACTGAGGATTCAGCTACTATATTCTCTGAGGACTGAACTCATGTCACCAGGCTTGGTGGCAAGAGCCTTTTACCCACAGGGTTAACTGGCTGGTCTCTAAAGGTAACATCACCTGGCTTTGCAGTTATGTCTTACCCTTCTGAAAGACTAACCACTCATTCATCCTTTCAGTCTGTAGTTTTGAGCCTCTAAGGAACCTGGAGAAAGTGGTGTATGGTCCGCAGGTCTGTGGCTCATGGCCGTAAGCACTTACAGGCTTGCAATCCAGGCCTGGCCTTCAAGGGAGGCAGGGAGAAGGGTCATAATGAGACCATCCTCAAGACCTGGACGGAGGGGGGGGCATCTTTACTTGATATCCAGGGGTCCTGGCAGTGGCCTCTCTGGGAGGTAAGGGACGCCCTGGGCAGCCCAACTCTCACCTGCATAGTAAGAATGAGGAGTCGGGGTCAGCTGGGCCGTTTGCTCTATGGAGGTTGGGGGCTCCCCCGAGGCCCTGGGATCAGCGTATGGAAGCACTGTCCCTACCGTCCCCCCACTGCCCTGGTCCGGGCATCCCGCTGTCCACAGGCAGAGACAACAAACCCAGCCTAGCATGCTCCTGGGAACTTCAGAGGCTATGCAGCTTCCTCTCTGCCTTGCACCCCAGCACCCCTGGGCTTTATTCTTTTAATCAAAATCTCCTGCTTTCCAACCCCCTGGAGGGAGATACACTCCTTATTTGTGCACAGCAAGTATAGATGAACTTCTAGGCCCTGGCTCAACCCTAATGATATATGTCCAATTTCTTTTGCTCATATGCCAAGTTACAGGAAGATACACACGTGAAAACGGACCCCCAATGCAATGCAGCTGCTCAGGAACCCCCAGGACCCTTTGGGAACGCCTTCTTAGTGAAGACCTCGGAGTTTAGATGGGAAAACAGGGGCTCAGATCAGGGAATGCAAACGCCACAACTGTGGGCTGACAAGCGCCGTGGTGAGTGAAGGAGGAAGGAGGAAGGAGGGGGGCAATCAGGAGTGCTGGAGACTAACGCCAGAAGCACATTGGCCCTCTGAGGGGGGCATGTGGGTCCCAGCGGAGAGATCTTCCAAGTTTTTATAAAGCAGAAGGCTGGAATTTGATATAAGGTCTCCCTGTTGGAGATATTTTGGGGCCAAATTCAACACACCTATGGGCTGAGTTCAGCCCCCAGTTGCCAATGTGAGCTGGGTAAGGCCATGTGACACTAGCAACTGGGGGCTACAGACTGACATATGCTACCATGGCCATCACTGACGACCACCGACAGCCACACCTTCACCTGAGTCGGGAGACATGGCTGAGACCTAGCTTTCCTTGCTGTACGACCCTGAGTAGGTTTATACACTCTCTGGTTTATACACAGTCCTTGGAGGACTGTGCTTGAGGATCCCTGGGAACCAAGAGCTTTGTATACAGTCAAGTTCCCTGGCCATGTAGTACAGACCTGCACACTGAGACCTAGCGTTCTGCTGTGGGGAAGGCCAGCAAAACAAAACCAGCAGCCACCAGGCTCTCCCTAGCCTGATATGGCGGGGGGGGGGGCAGACGGAGCCAGCCTCTACTAGCCCACAGTGCCCGCATCCTCAGCAGCCTGGACCTCCAGCCCCCGGCTGTCTAGGAATTGAAACCGTGTAGGCAGCTTCAGGGTCCTGCTGCTTACATTCAGCAAAACAACAGTGGCTCAAACTAGACAGTGGCCAAGAAGCTTCAGATGATCGCCGTGGGACCTAGCGTGAGCAGGGGACTGTGGGTGCCTACCCGTGTGCCCAAGCGTGTGGCTGGGTCAGGAGCCTGTTGTACTTTGCCCATGGTTCGGTGATGATATCAGCTCTAGCAGCTGTGCTGGTGTGCAGGGCCGGCCTTTACAGACTTGTGGCATGGCTGTGTGTAGGAGCCCATGGTCTCTATCACTTACCGGAGGATGGCCCAATGGGCAGCTCCCAGGAACCTACTAGGGACTTGCAGCCACAGGCTGAAGTGATAAACTAGGGTAAGACACCTGTACTGCTCCTAGCTCTGTGCCCTCGAGCAGGTGGCCCCTTCTCTCTGGGCCTCATTTTCCTTATGCCAGACATTTGAATGGCGATAATGCCTACCCTCCCTGTGCAAAGGACCCAATGACTGTCAGCTGCTAGTGTTGTCACTATGAACCACCAATGTAATAACCACTTAGAGGTGCGGGACCCAACCTGGCCTCACACTGAGTCATGGGGACATTTAAAGTGTATTCATGCCTGGGCCTCGGTGCCAGTTTCTGACCAAACCAGGCAGAGCGGAGAACTCCCTGGGGACCCTGCTGGGGTAGGATCATCCTCAGACCAGATGCCTCTTCCAGGTGCTGGGGGAAATGCATGTTCTCAGCTGTCACCCAGAGCTGCTGCCCAGGTCACTGGGTAGGCCTGCCACCTGTGTGGTTACCAGTTTCCTCAGGACAGGGGAGTGCAGGCTCTGGGTAGAGCAGTTGGCCTGACAAAAGGAAAATGGCTGCTAAGGTGACCGTGGGCTCGGGGTCCCTGGGACCCATGACACCTGGAGGCCCTGGGTCACCGGGCAGAATAGCAACTGGTCCAGATCACATGGTGTGGGTGACAGAGTCCGGGCCCAAGGAGGCAGCTCTGTGCTCACTTCTGCAGGGGTTTCCAGCTTCCAGGGGACCCCTGACTTCTTGGCGTTTCCAAGCCTCTACTGGGTTCATGGCCTCCGGGAGGCCACGGTCTATGCAGAAACTGTCCTGGCTGAGAACTTGATAGACCCGCACATGGGGCTGAGGAAGACTGGAGGAGGAATCTAAAAACTCTGGCAGGGAGAGAAAGGGGCCGGGGAGTGGGAGGATGAGAGCAGGAGCCGTCAGGAGCTTACCCTCACATTCCACTCTGAACGTGTTCCTCAGCCCTCCACAACCATCCTGATCCGGGGCTGCCGGGGCCCCTCTGAGGTTGTTCCATGGTCTCCTTCTGCCTCCAGGCATCACATTTACCACCCTCTCCACCAGGCCACAGGCCTTGCACACACCTAGCATGATGCTCTCTTAGTTTTGGCTCATAGGCTCTTACCCAGAGCCCTTTCCCTGTCCTTTTCCCCTCTGTTGACTGTTATGTTTAGTCTCCAGAGACCCTGGTGGGATTTTATTACCTCCTCCTGAGAGCCTTTCTTGATTTACACAGCAGGAACAACCTAGGCTTCTCACTGTTCCCTGATACCCCTTATCACCAGCTCCTACCTTCAGTCACCCAGGTTGGTCAGGCTAGCCTCTGGGCCAGACTCTGGCCTTGGGGGTTACACCCTGACTGAAACCTGACTTTCCTGCTACCACCTTCTGGACACTGATGCCCGGCATCCTGAGGGGGCTCTGAGGAGCCATCCACCCTCTCCCATTTCTTTAGGGAGTAGGGATGGGGGATGTGAGTGCCTAGGTTAGTCG